GGAGGCTATGTTTCCCTATTTTTGGTTCATTCCCTCATTTTGGTGGTACTTATCTTCTAGTAGCTTCCTGTGGAAGTGTTTATGGGAGGTAACTCTTTTGAGGTCTTTGAAGATGTTAAGTAAATTTTCCTACTCTTAAAATTTTTGACTTACTTTGGGGTAAAATTCTGGATTGGAGTAATATTACAGGAAGTCTCTCCCTAAACAAATCCTATGCCTACACATAGAACAACTAATCACTTTTTAGTGCCTTATTCTTAAATCCAAATGAATGATAAGATCTGGATATAGGGTTATGTAAGGATTACCAGGCATACCTAGGAGAATTTTACTGGGGTTTCATTTTGTTCAGTTTGTAGTCTTTCATTTAATCCCATGCTTTTAGCATAGTACTTCTACCTCAGCTATACTTAGAGTCTCCAGAATTTTCCAGGCTTACCCTCACCAGGGAGTAAACCTCCAGTATTCTGCTGGTGCCTAGATGAACAGGTTGGGAAAGAGGATCCCATAGTCTATACAAACTTTAAACCAACTAATCCTTTTCTTTTTTTATTTTCTTCTTTATTATCAATAGTACCAGTATTTAATTTTTTAATTAAATTTATTGGGGTGACATTGGTTAGTAAAATTATATAGGTTTCAAGTGTACAATTCTATACTACATTGTCTATATATTGCATTGTGTGGTCACCACCCAGTCAATTCTCCTTCCGTTACCATATATTTGACCCCTTTTACCCTATTCTACCACCATCCCCCACTTACCCTCTGGTAGCCACTAAACTGTTGTCTGTGTCTATGAGTTTTTGTTTGTTTGTTGCTTTCAGTTTTATATCCCACTTATGAGTGAAATCATAAGTCAATAATCCTCTTCAAAAATCTCATCTTCATTTCTATTTAGAGAAGTACCTCATACCTTAATTCTTGAAACTATCTGGGTTTTACAGTGAAAATTACCTTGATCCTTGTTTTCAACTTGAAGCTATTAGTTTTATTCTATCTGTTTAGTCAATAGTGATCAATCTGCTTTCAAAATGTTGTTGCCTCTTTCCCGTTATCTTCTCTCCTGCTTTCTATATTTATGATTCTTTGTTATTTTATGAACATTTTAGAGAGTATTAAGAGGAAACAATGGTAAAAGCAGGCATCTAATTTAATATGTTTAACCAGAAAACATTTATATGTAATCTGTTTCTTTTTATCTCTATTAGGTGAAGTTAAAGTCCACATTAACCTGCCTCGGGAATGGCTAGCTTCAACCACACTGGTGTTAGCCATGTAGTCTTCTACCTGCTGGGCATCCCAGGCAGAGCAGACCTGCACATGTGGATTTCCATTCCCTTATTCATCTCCTATATCTTTGCCCTCCTGGGAAATGGTCTTCTCATCTTCATTATCCTCACCAAGCGCAGCCTCCATGAACCCATGTATCTTTTCCTCTGCATGCTGGCTGGAGTTGACATTGTCTTTGCCACAACAACAGAACCCAAGGCATTGGCCATTTTCTGGTGCAATAGTAGGGAAATCTCTCTTAATAGCTGCATTGCCCAGCTCTACTTTCATCATTCCTCCTTCATTTCTGAATCAGGCATCTTGCTGATTATGGCATTTGACCGCTACATTGCAATATGTTACCCACTGAGGTACACCATGATACTCACCTACTCTCTGATANCTGCAGCAGAGGCTGCAGCCTACACTGTTGCTGGCGACTCACAGCAGCCCAGCTCCAGGTTGAGCTGTTGTTCAGCATCTTAGCTGTAGAGGGCAATGTCACTGGCCCTCATATGTGGGATCCGAACCGGGGCTCTCTGGCGTCCCAAGCAAGCTCTTAACCATCGCGCCACTCGTCCGGCCCAGGACTTTTTAATTCATTTGGATTCAGGCACCTGAGCCCTCAAATGAGGACTTTGGCCACTGATCTTAAATCTTCTCCTCACCTGGCCTTCTTTCCCTCCTGCTCTCCTGTTGGCTTTTCCTTCTGTGCTGTGCTCTAGGTCCACACTGATGAAAGGTCATGTCCAATCCATCAAGGGATTCAAAGTTTGTTAAAAATGCTTCATAGATAAAAATAATTCTGATTAATATGTTTCCTAATATATAGAAAATTGTGACTTAGGGGAGATGGATCATGTAGGCAAAGAACTGCTACCCCTGGCGGACTCTAAGAAGTTCCAGTTGAGAGGGATAGGGAAAGTGCTCATCAGCACAAAGCAGGGGGGTGTCTGGGACAGGCTCAGGAGAACTTCTTTTGGAAGGCGGCATAGGGAAGAGTCTTAGGATAAAATGGAATTGGATCAGCAGTTGTTCTAAGCATCTGTTTCCAAAAGCCATTCCCCAATTCCTCGGCTTTTCCTCTATAGTTCCAACCAAAACAAATCCCCTTGACTGTGCCTTTTCTCAAAGCCTCTGTCACCTTCTGAAGGCTCTTCTCCATCCAACTTCTGATCATATTTGATCTCTAGCTCTGCTCTTCCTCCCTTCACCTGCTCTTTTGTCATTAGGTCTATGGAGCACCACTGTGCCTTCACTTTTCCATTTCCTTTGGGAATATGGCATTCCTTGAAAAAGCTTTTTTTTTTTTTCCAGCCTCAGTATGACCATGCAATATACAGGAGGCAATCGTTCATTGCAGGAAACATTTTCATCAGACTGTCTATTCTTACTCCCAGTGCCAGGTTCCCTAGATTTTCCTCTTAAGGACGAAGAGTCAATTCAGTTGAGCCACTCTGTGTTCTCTAAGGGGGTAATCCGGTACCCAAACAGAATAGGAATTTTGGCTCTAGACATTAAAATGA